GTCCTAAAATCACCTGGACGTGGAAAGGAACAGGAGAGAACGACTCTCCCATCACAGGAAACATCACTAAGTTCAAGACTGAGAATCTGACTGCTGTCACACAGAGACACCACTCAACTTTGACCTTTAACCCTTCACCTGAACACCATGGCACCAATGTCACCTGTAAGGTCAGCTTCACAAACAACATCACTACAGAGGAGACAGTGACTTTGAATGTGACCTGTGAGTAAAACATAATGTGCTGTATTCTCACCCTTTATTGTTTATCTAATGTTTGCTAAGAGATGTTTAAACATCTGAACAACATCCTGATGGAAAATGTTGAACAATCGTGTAAATACACTGTACAACTGTTCTAAGACAGAAAATGTCTTGTAGTGTTTTCTTCTTTCTTCTAATAAGGTTACTGAAATAAGTTTACAGTAACATTAATAATCCTTAATGTTTTTGAACAATTTTAGATGCTGGCGCCCTCCAGTGTTAAAAAGAAAAAAATAACAATTTCAGACAATGTATGAATGCAAAAACATTTACACACAGTGAATTTATATTATTGTATGTGTATATTATGTACATACCATCTTAATTATGTACTATATATGTCACACTGCTGTAAATTGTAATTTTCCTTTATTTATATTATATATATTAAACTCATACCTACATTTATACAGTATTAGGGATAGCCTTTTTGTATTTTACTCAGAAGTTAGTATAATACCTCAAGAAGTTTTCTAGGGTTGCACTACATTCCCACAAATTATGTAAATGGTCTATCAATATTGTGAGGTGTTGTAAAGTATATAACGTCTTCGGCTTTTAAATGTCATTAATTTCATTTAATTAATCTGACTCTTTTATCTTTTTCCTACCGCTATATCCTAACTTCAAAAACGTTATTTTGTACCTCACAGATATGAAACCTGTAATCACTGGGAATACAACTGTTAAGGTGGGACATGCTCTGAATCTGACCTGCAGAGTTGAAAGTTTTCCTCTGTCTAATATCACATGGACACTTGGATGGTTCCAAACACAAACCTGCTCAGTGAACCTAATACACCTGCAGAACAACACTGGATCAGCAACACTTGTCATCCATAATGTGACAGCAGAACATTCTGGACAGTACATCTGTACAGCACAACATCTGGACATGACTGTGACTGTATTTGCTGATGTAACTGTGACTTGTGAGTAGACTACAAATCTTCTTGAAATTACTGTTTATGTTTTTACACTATCAGCATTTTGTTGTGATGTTTTGATTCTGCTTGTGTTTTTACAGGGATTTCGAAGATCTTTAAAAACTCTGGATGTAAGGTTCAATCGCAGGTCCAGACCTGTGTGTGTATCAGTGAGGGGTTTCCTTTACCCACCATCAGATGGCCGTTGTTGAAGAACCATGCTGAGTACTTTGTAATTACCACCGTGTCAAACCACACAGTCAACAGCACCGTCAGCCTAACTGTAAAAGACAGCAACGCTACTGTTGAGTGTGTCAGCAGCAATGAACATGGGGAAGCAAAACAAAACTTCACAATTATAATAAATAGTTATAATGATAAGGAAAAGTTGAAACCAGAAGGTAAGCGTTGACAACTAAAATACTTTATCTACTCTCAACCACTGCTTTTTGTTATTTCACATATGCTGCACTGATCACAACTGTTAATTTGAATTTATTTGTCCCTCTCCATTCCAGATCTCCTCTCTCAATTGTTAATAATTGTGCAGCCACCAGTCATCATCGCGTTTGTGATTGGGATTCTTCTGTCAGCCACCATCTGCTGGTTGGCCAGAAAATGCCACAGGTACACTTTTAGGTTTCTTATCCTTCTTTTTGACATCCATGCAGACATTTTAGGCATTATTAATGACGATCATTCATAAATGACCACAGTAGTGTTTTAGCAAACTTTATCAATTTTTCATTAATGATAACCATTTTCCAAAGTATACCACTTACATTTTTGAATGTGTTCTTATGTGTGGTATAATCCCACATAATAATACAAACACACATGTAAGGACAATGTTTAGTTTCTAATTTATCTAATCTGCATGCCTTTTAATGGTGGGGAGAAACTGGAGAACATGGAAAGCTCACACAGAAAGGCCAGTCAGCTTTGTTGGTGTTTGAACCCAGAACATTGTTGCTCAGAAGTGACACTGCTGAGCCACTGTGCCACATGACCGGTCTTATATTTAAACAAAAATAAATAAATGTTGTCTGGTAGGAAAACTAGGAAGAACACATAAAAAAAATCTAAATATATTAGGTAGCGTCATGATTAGCGGATTGAATAAGAGGGCTGAAAATTTCAAAATCACAGGTGCGGTCAAGACTTTAATCCAGTAATCCTTTCTTGATAATTGTTTTTTCCTTCAATAATGTGTCTCTGTTTCATTTTTCTCACCAGAAAAAAGCAGAAGAGCTCCGGAAATACGGTTGAAAACCTGGAGATGGTGACTACTAAAGTGGTCCCGCTGGTATTTAAATTAACAGACTTTTCTATATCTATATTTGTCCTGCAATGAGACATGCACAAGAATTGTCTTGTTTTAGACTGATTTGAGAATACTACTCATTATCACACAACAACAATCTGAACTCATTTTAACGGATTAATACTAACAACATTTATCTCAAGTCTATTCAGGCTTTTCAGACCTTAGGGGATATAATGCATAGTTTACATAAAGTTGTCTGACTTGGAAAATGACATACTTTCTTTATTGTACCTGACAGATGGATGCTGGTCAATCAGTGGAAAATTATGAGACCCATGGCCAAGAGGCAGCTGAGGGAGAAGCCGAGGCTGCTGGGCAATCAGCCCCCAACGGTGACGTGGAACCCAAAGAGGCAGAATACTCTGACATTGACTTCTCCAAGTTTACCAGGAAGAGTCCCACAGGGACAGAGAATGCGCAAGAGATCGCAGAGACAGAGTATGCTGAAATTAAGACAGAAGAAAGAGGGGAGAGAGAAGACAATGCTGGCGAGGATGGTGAAAACTTGAGCAATCAAGAGGAGGTGGTGATGATAGGGGAAGATAATGAGACAAGAGAGTGTAGAGTTGCAGGAGAGGAGGATGTGGCAGTGTATTCCAATGTAAAGGAAATAATGGCTGAGATCTGAGGACTGTAGCTTTGTGAAGTCACTTATGGATAAATGTATTTTTTTATTGGTGAAGAAAGGCGAAACATGATGAGTGATTTAACATAGACAGTTGTGACATATAACATACATACAGTGAAACATTGTGCATTACATTAAACTGAGGATAGGAGCAGAAAAACTTATATAGTGAAGAAATTCATCTTTAAGATGTGATGATTTCAAGGAAAATATTTTTACATTTTGTATTCTTGTGCAAACAAGCTTGTCTAACACAGGATTTATTTACACTGTATCGAGTAGAATTGACAGCTTTATGTACCAGATAAGCTTATTATTATTTTTAGACAATACATTACTTTTTAAGAAATAAATGCAGCTGAAATTGTGTGTCATCACGCTTTTTATGTTTGATTAATTATTGAGTGTTGTAGATATAGCTATAATTTTTTAGTGTGTTATTTTTATGACCTTTTTCTTTTCCTTTTTAACTTAGTGGGTGGAGAGTGTGCTTCTGAGTGTTCTTGAAAGCGCTCCTATAAAGTTAAATGTTATTATTATATATTATTATTATTATTCATTATTATTATTATTATAAGGTATAAGTAAACTTCTGGTTTGAACCTTTATTTTAAGCCACTACGTGTGGCTGTCTCAGGAGATACTGTAGAGCAGGTTGTCAAGAAATGGCAGTGTTTATTGTTCAAACCCTGAAAAACACTGAACCTCAAATAAAATAAGTAATAAAATGGTTAGGTGATGCCATCAGTGAGTGTGAATGGGTGAATTAGAGGCAAATTGTAAAGCACTTTAGATAAAGGTACTATATAAATGCAGTCCATTTTTGTGAAAATCCTACTTTGGTGCCTCTCAGTGGTGGAAAGTCTGTACCACACGTGCTCTGCAGGATCCCCAGTGCTTCTATGTTTGGTTTGCATAAGTGCAGATCTGTCTTTCAGAACTATGCTCTGCTTTGCACATGAATAAACGCTAACCCTTTGCACTGAATAAACATCTCTTGTATTTATTCTTTCATTTTAATTTCAAAGAAAGCCGCTGTGAACACCACTTTGGTGAAGAAACTTGCAAAACGGGGGGGGATACAGGTTAATTTCTATATTATTCTAAGTAATAGATTACTTCCCCTTTTTAAATGTGTATCAGGAATTGACCTGACTTTCAGTTCTAAGAGAGCAGGGAGTTTCTTGAGAAAAAACATTCTGTAGAACTTAGTATAAACTATGAACTTTAAGTGAAAACAAAGTCTTCTCAACCTCTATGGCACTCTGTGTTCAATATGCAGACAGATAGCAACAAGTTTTGAAAGAATTGGAGCTTATTAGTTGAAGATAGTTATAGTCTAGTAGCGCAACAGGAAGTTATCGGAGACACTGAAGATACTGTACAGTGATGCCATATAAGGAAATGCATAATTGAACACTCAGTGACTGATATTGCACACTATACAAATACAGAAGTGCTGTTTAAGAGGCTGAAGCTAAAATGGAGAAATGGTAGTTTTTTCACGTGTGAATATTCTTTATCAACTCAACTGGCCCTGCAGAAATATGCACCATTTACAGTCATGCGCATCACACACAAGGGAAAGATACTGTTGATAGGTTGATACGTTTCTCAAGATGACCAGAATGTTTTGTGCAACCGCCATAAACTTCCCCTTTCCAAAGCTTTTTGTAGCAGTTCACAGTCACAAGAAAATGGTACCAAAGAAAAATCAAAAAGTGTTATTAATGCATATGTCTATGTGGTGCATAATGTGATAGTGTGAGATTGTAACTGCATGATATTGAGGCATTCTGACTATTGCAGCAACAATTCTCACCAGTATTGTTTACACAAAGAAGGAAGAGAAAAGTAATCAGAGGAAGAGTCGGTTTAGAGCAAAGTCACACCGGATCATCATGGCAGAGAAGAGAGGAGGGGAACAAAAAAAACAGGTAAAACATAGCATTTACCTTATTTTTAAGATGTCTTTCTAAATAAAATCTATTTAAGAGAATGATTAAGAGAACCAATTAATCTATGACATTTTTCAAATTACTGCCTTGTGCTTGTGTAATATGGCAGACTGTAGGGAAAGTCTTGCACCGAGGATGGCCAGGCTATGGCACAGATATTCATTGTGCAAAGCTGTCGTAGAGTTGTCATCAGGGGCCCAAAATCGCACCCCAGGGGGAAAGTGGTAGTCAAATGTATTTGCTTAAGTACAGAATGAGTGAACATGTGACATCCTGTATTAACATCTGGGTTGTCAGGTGTGGAGCTCTTTCTGGTTCAGTTTGATCAACCAAACCTCCTGTATGTGTTTTGCACATGTTGTATAGCGTTCTGAGAGCATCTGAGAGACGAGATTTTGTCCTGTGTAGAGAGAGATTGACTGTCTCAATCATCGAATTAGGATGTATCTCATTTGGGCGACTCTGCTCTTCACTTTGAAAAGCAACACTGCTAACACCGGTACAGTATGCATCTTTAATACAATCTTGTCTCTTGACTTTTTTGCACTGATGATAAATGTTCCTATACATTTTTATATATACTATACTATATAAATACTTATTGATCATCCTCATCAGGAATTTGGTCACACGATGCTGCGGCAAAAAGTATTGTTCGGCCTTTCAAAAGCTTCAGCAGTATTTCAGCAATGCTACATTTCATTAAAAGTGATCAGTAATTAAATATATTGTTGTATTATCCATATCTGTAGATATTCTGTTCCTAATTCCTAATTTCCCTGTTTGTATTAACAGTTGCATCTGAAGGGGCAGTCACATCAACAGCAGAGGCCGGACTCTGTGTTGTTATACCCTGTAATTTTACTTCTGACCCTAACTTCAATTTGTCAAGTGCATTTTGGTACAAATGCGAACAGAACTGTGATGATTCTAATACAAACACCAACCTCAATACTTTGTTCAATGGACGAGTGTCACCGTTGGAGCCTGATCTGAGTCAGAAGAACTGTGGCAGCATCATAATCAATGACCTCACTGTTTCAGACTCCGGATCATATAAACTCCTGAATGGAATAAATGAAACATACAATTATACAGTAACTATCACAGTAAGAGGTATGAAGGACCACAGAAAATGTTCTACGCTCTTAAGATGTTTTATGAGAAGTTATAAAGTCTTTTCTGCCATGAAATTATGTTCTATTTAACTCTGTGGGCGACCAGTAGTAACACCAGCTGTGTGTCTCATTTTACTCCTGCCATACCTTCCACTTATTGCCCCTCTGAAATATTTAACAGTAGATTATATTAGTCCTACTTAAAGTGAACAATAACCTTTGCATCTGCTCACCTTATTCCACTAATAGACCCTGATTTTCTTCCTATTGTACATTTGTTCCCCCTTCAGATCTGACCCAGAAGCC